TTATAAAAAGAACAATTTAAACCCAGTGTAAGCAGAAGAAAGGAAATATAAAAATAAGTATAAGGAAATACAAAAATACAAAAATAAAATCAAAACAAAAAACGTCAATGAAAACAAAAGCTGGTATTTTGGAAAGATCAGTCAAAATTGTTAAACCTCTAGCCAGAGAGACCAAGAAACAAAAGAAGACATGAATTACCATATCAAAAATTAAAAAAAAAAAAGGACCTCATTACAGATCCTAAAGCAATAAAATACGGGACCACTGTTAACAATTTTATGTTCATAAATTAGATGAAAGGGACAAATACTCTAAAAGATACAAATTACCAAAGCTACCAAAAAAAAAAAAGAGAGAGAAAAGTTAAAGAATAAATACATAACTGAACAGTCTTATTTAACATCAAATGAACTGAATTGATAGTTAAAAGCCTTCCCACAAAGAAGACTCCAGGACCAGATGGCTGGCTACACTACCATGATGAATCCTACCAACACTGAAGGAAGCAGAGCATCGGCGGAACAGGAACTGCAGCAGAGAGCCCAAACTGCAGCTGTTTGTTTAGAGGCACTTCCCCTGATACCAAAACCAGATGAAAACAATACAAAAAAGAAAGTACAGACCGATATTTTTTATGAACACAGAAACAAGTATCTTCAAAAACATGAGCGAGTTAATCCAATATATAGCATGGAAGATACATCACAATCAAGTGGAATTTATCTTGGGAATACAAGGCTATTCAGCACTCAAAAAGCAAGAAATTGATCCTACCAAAGACTAAGAAGAAAATTCTTATAACCTCAATCAATACTTGCAACAACAAAAACACTGGCAAAAATCAACATCTATTCATGATTTAAAAGAAAAAAAAAGCCAGCAAAGTAAGTATAAAACGAAACTTCCTCAACCTAGCAAATGGCCAAACAGAAATACAAGGGAACTTCTGATAAATGGCATTACAAAAACCCTACACCTAATATCATACTTACTTGTGAAGGACAAATGCTTTCATCTAAAATTAGGAATAGACAAGGATGTCTGCTCACCATTCATATTTGACAATACCCTGGAAGTCCTAGCTAGTGTAATAAGGCAAGAAAAAAACAAAACAAAACAGAACAGCATAAAGATCTGAGAGGAAGAAATAAAACAGCCTCTATTCACAGATGACACAACAGTCTACATAGAAAAATACCAAGAACTCTACAAAAAATGTTCCCAGAACCAGTAAGTTAAGAAAATTGCAAGGTCGCTATTTTTTAAAATCAACTTTATTTTTACACACTAATGAACAATCAAAAATTGAAATAAAAACAAACACCATTTAGATTAGCACCAGGAAACATGAAACACACATAACTAGAAATTTAACAAAATGTGGGCAGGACCTATGTGCCAAAACGACAAAACAACAATGAAAGAAAATAAAAAAGAATGGAGAGAGTTTGGTCACATTCATAGTTTGGAAGGCGCAATAACGTTAAGATGCAATTCTCCCCCAAATTAATCTACAGATTTAATGCAATCCCAATAAAAATCCTAGTGGATTTTTTTTTTTTTTACTAACATATTCTAAAATCTATACCAAAAGGCAAAGGAACTAGAATAGCCAAAACATTTTTTTTTTTTAATGGTAAATTTGGAGGATTCATATCACCTAATTTCTACACTTAATAGTAATCAATGCAGAAGTAACTGGCAGAAAGATAGACAAACAGATCAACAGAAGAGACCAGAGAAAGACCACACATAAATGGTCATGGATTTTTGACAGAATCAGATAGAAATTAAACTTGTATCCTAAATAGATAGAACTCTCAAAACTCAATAACCTGCCTTGGCTGGTTTGGTGGTTAGAGTGTTGGCCCTTGGACCAAAGAGTCACGGGTTCGATTCCGGTCATAGGCACACGCCTTTGGTTGTAGTTTGGGCCCTGGTCAGGGTCATGTGGGAGGCAACCAATCAGTGTGTCTCTCTCACATTCATGTTTCTCTCCCTCTCTCTCTCTCTCTCTCTCTATCTCTCCCTCCCACTCTTTCTGCAAAAACAAATGGAAAAATGTCCTTGAGTGAGGATTTAAAAACAAAACAAAATGAAACTCAATAACTATTTTTGTGCACCAAGGGGGACAATCAAGAGAATGAAAACACAATCCATGGAATAGGAAAAAAATATCTGCAAGTCATATATCTAATAAGGGGTTAATATCCAGAATATATAAAGAATTCCTACAACTCGCCCTGGCCGGTTTGGCTCAGCAGTTGGAGCGTCAGCCTGCGGTACAGAGAGACCCGGGTTTGGTTCCCGCTAAGGGCATGTACCTCGGTTGCAGTTTGTCCCCGGCCCTGTTGGTCGTGTGGGTGGCAGCCACTCGATGTGTCCCTTCACGTCGATGTTTCTCTCTCTCTCTCTCTCCCCCTCCCGCTCTATCTGAACAAAAAATGGAAAAATGTCCTCGGGTGAGGATTAAAAAAAAAAAAGAATTCCTACAACTCAACAATTAAAAAATAAATAACCCAATTAAAATATGGGCAAAAGACTTGAACAGATGGTAAATTTCATGCTAGGTATATTTTACCGTAATTATAAGAAGCCATTCAATAATTAAAAAAAACAAACAACCCAATTAAAAATGGGCAAGAACCCTGGCCGGTTTTGCTCAGTGGTTAGAGTGTCGGCCTGCGGTCAGGAGAGACCCGGGTTCAGTTCCTGCTAAGGGCACGTACCTTGGTTGCAGCTTGTCCCTGGCCCTGGTTGGGTCGTGTGGGTGGCAACCACTCGATGTGTCCCTTTCACATCAATGTTTCTCTCTCTCTCTCTCTCTCCCTGCCACTCTATCTGAACAAAATATCAAAAAATGTCCTCGGGTGAGGATTTAAAAAAAAAAAAAAAAGGGCAAGAGATTTGAACACATTTACCAAAGAATATATGGACAACAAGTAGGCACAAAAGCAGATACTCAATGTCCGCAGTCTTTAGAGAACTGAAAACTAAAACCGCAATGGCATACCACTACACACCTATTTGTGTGGCTAAAATAAAAACAAACAAACAAAATGAAACAACCCTGATAATATCAAGTATTGGTGAGGACACAGCTAGTGGGGATGCAAAATGTTATAGTTTGGCAATTTCTTGTAAGTTAAGCATTCATTTACCATAAGACACCCAGCAGTTCCATTCCTAAGTATTTATCCAAGAGAAATGAAAAGTTATGCTCATACAAAAACCTGTATATTGGAGCAGATTTATTCATAATCACCAAAAACTGGAAACAAGCCAAACGTATGTGAACTGGAGAATAAGTGCACTATTCTACAGTCATACACTGGACTACTCAGCAACAAGAAACCAACAACAACAACAAAGAACTACTGACACAAGCAACTTCCTGGAGAAATCTCAAACACATTAGGCTGAGTGTAGGAAACCAGTCTCAGAAGGCTACATGTATGTAGTATGAGCTCACTGACATGACATTCTGGAAAAGGCACATACTTCTGTACGGGAAGAGAAAACACACCAGTGATTGCTAAGTGCTGAGGGTGCGGGGACAGAGCTGACTATAGATGGGAAGTTTCAGGGTGATGGAACTGTTCTGTATTTTGATTGCAGTGGTGGTTACATGACTACGTGTGTCTGTCAAACTCAGAACTGTGCCCTGAGCATCTTCCTATATGTCAGTCATACCAGTGCAAACAATAAAGGTATTCAGAAAATAAATGTAATGTGATAAACACCACCAAAGTATTATATCATAACCAGCTAAGTAAACAATGATAAGGTATGAGTTATTTGATATGTTTAATCGGACTGAAATATTTTACCTCTCAGTATATTTCAAACAGAGGCCATATTTTAGCTTTATAAATTAACAGTTAAGGTTAGTATTATTTAGTGATTTTTTTTTATTATTATCACTTAGGGAGGCATAAAAAATCCACTACATCTTATTTGAAACCACTATTTTTTAATAATTAATTTACCCATTATCTATTATGTGCAGATTCAAACATTCACGAGAATCAGGGCAGAGTTCGGGAACATGCTTCTTCCCCTTTCCATTTGCCTAGTAGTGGACACGGCTGGTAGAAACAGTAAGTGTCAAGTATTGAAATATTCTCTGACCTCTTCCTGCTCATCCTCTAAGTCAGTGGTTCTCAACCTTCCTGATGCCGCGGCCCTGTAATACAGTTCCTCGTGTTGTGGTGACCCCCAACCGTAAAATTATTTTCAAAATTATTTTCGCAGCTACTTCATAACTGTAATTTTGCTACTGTTATGTCTTAAGCGACCCCTGTGAAAGGGTTGTTCGACCCCCCGAGGGGTTGCGACCCCCACGTTGAGAAGTGCTGAGGGGGAGGGGAACAGAGTCAGCTCTCCCAAGGGGGAGCGGGGCCCCGGGGAGCGGTTCGGTTTATGTCAAGCATAAAAAGGTGTCACTGCCCAGTTAAATGAGTGGAGACCACAGCCTGCCCATTTCAAAGGGGAAAGAGGCGGCCCGGGGTTCACGGTGCGGGCAGACAAAGCGCTCCCTCGCCGTGTCCATCTGCAACTGCTTCGGCAACAGCTTCGAGTCTACACATTTCAGATCAACAAGTGCTGTTTAAGGTGATTACCCACACCGCCTGGTTTATTTTAACACAGCCCACAACACACGTCTGTGCGCAGAAAGGCTGAAGCAGTTCACAACTTACACAGTGCGCAGTCTTTTACCGGATCACTCAGAACTTGAAAAAATAAATAACTTAAATGTCTTTGGTCAGGGATAAAAACAGCAAATATACAAATAACCACCAAAAGGATATTTGAAAAAGTAACCCTGTTCACTTCTGACCTTCATAAAGACTTTATCGCGATTCCAATTTTAAACAAAGGAATATAGAAAAGTTTTCCCCTTTCTCTGGGCTTCCTGACATCTGGCTTTCTGCTATTGTTTTCACCAGCTGCCAATATCCTGAGCTGTGCACGGAGCCTGGGCCGCAGCAGAACTCACCCTGTGAAGCGTCACTGTGTGCTGTTCCCATATAGCTGTTTCCTCCATCACTGTGTTCTGACAAAGAAAAAGAAAAACAAGTCATTCATTTTTTAAGAAAACGTCTTTAATCAAGTGAGCAAGGGCACCCAACAAACAAGTCAGCACATTAAAAGTCATACTATGAATATCAGATACTCCGAAAGAGCCTCATAATTATGGAAGGTTTTTGGTCTGCTTTTGTTGAAAGAGACAGGAAGCTACACACAGGAACTTCCTTTGTTTTCAACTTAATTTGGACAGATGCCGGTCTAGGTTCATTTCTTGCCAGCTGTAATCAGTAATCTAGCTAATTCTGCAACTTCATACTTAACATGAAATTGGAAAGAATGACAGTTGGAATAGTACTATTTTAAAATATCTACGGACACATAAAACATCTCAAAGCATTCCTTATGTAAAGGAAAGAGAAAGTCAGATGCCTCAGAACTCAACCCTCTGATTATAAACATTCACGTTACGGGAAATGGGATATGGCTGCGTTAGTATCAGTCACACTACTGCCCCACCTAGTTTAGGTTTTACTACAGAATTGCCTTCTCAAGCTTTTTTTCTAAGGAAAAAATATGGCTTTTCTAATATACTATTACACACACCCCGCAAAGAAAAGCAACTCCCAGAAAAACCTCTCCAAGAATGACCGTCCAATGAGCGCAAAGCGAGCTGCAGGGAAGCCCGCCTGACACCAACGTGCAGTTCAGGTTCATCTGCTGCTGAGAAACTGACCAGAGAGGGAAACCAATGACTATCTGCGGTGGTAAGCACTAGAGAACTCAACAAAAATTTCCATAAACTGGGTTAAGTGCTCTTGGAAGCTTCAGGTAATCCAGTTTTCCTTACTGTGGCACTGGGTAGCACAGGTTCCCGAGTGTGACCGTCTGTGGCCACGTTCTGAAGGCAGAGTCACAGGGGCGGGTGGAGGGGACGGAGCATGGCATTGCCACAACTGCCCCGCTCACAAGCGAGATGTTTTCTGACATCGCTGTCATCTGCTTCACGAGAACAGGCCCATCAAGGTACCAGGGGCCTGTTTCTCCTTTCTTACAGCAACTTTAATCGGAGATTCTTGCTACTTTAGAAAATGAATCCCTAGGAAGAAAGCCTGCTTCCCTAAATTCAAAGCAACTAGATTAACTTTCCTGCCAGATGAATGAGTGAGAGAGGGAGAGAAAGGATCTCTCTGTTCACTCCCACAGATAAGAACTGCCAAGCTCCCCGCTTTGTTTCCGCCTTCCAATCAAGGGCAGCAAAGCCTCCCTTTAATGAGACCTCTGCTGGAAACAAATGTGGTTTTTTGTTTGTTTGTTTGTTTGTTTGAATGTATTAAAAGAACCCCTCCATCAATGTGAAGCGATGATGGTATGAGTAATTCTGCTAAGCGTTAAGAATTCTACTAAAATACACATGATCAAAATACCTGCAATAATTGCCAGTCTGCCCAATCTTAGCTGACATATAAAAACAGGAGCTGCCTGTCTTGGTTGGTTTGGCTCAGCAGTTAGAGCGTCGGCCCGGGGACCAAAGAGTCACAGGTCCGTTCCTGGTCCTGGCCGGGGTCCTGCGGGAGGCAACCAGTTGAGGTATCCCTCTCATGTTGATGTTTCTCTCTCTCTCTCTCCCTCTCCCTCCCACTCTATCTAAAGATAAACAGAAAAACATCCTTGGGTGAGAATTAAGAAAAAGGGAGCTGCTTGCACAGCTCAGGCTCACCTCTTCCTGACCCGCCCCTTGAACCCGGAGCACTGCTCCCTGCCCTTGTAATCCCTTTCCCATCAGCACAAACGGAGAGCAACCTAGTAACAGGAACACCTTGACAATGCATTCTCTGGTGTGAAGGGTTTATCATCTATCTGCCATATGGCTGTCACGACCACGTCATTTCCCACTTTGTAAGAGAGTTCTAATCAAACGGGGACATTCACTTAATGTCAATTCTATGGAGCAGCTTATGTTAGGTTCCTTCTGTCTGAGTGTGCGCAGAAGAGGCTGCGGACAGAGAAAATGTTGACACTGACCATCTTCGAGTGAAGGGGTCGTGGGGGCATTTCTTTCGCTGGTGTTTTATCTTCTGGCTTTCCTTTCTCCATTCCCGTTGCCAAAGGATTTTAATCCACATTAACCAAATCCCATTCGAAACATCAAATATCTGTTTTTAACTTAGCTTTTAGGAAACCCAAATACTACTTAAGAAGATTTTATTTCATTGTTAACTATAAAAGGTATTTATTCTGGCCCTGGATGGTTTTGCTCAGCGGTTAGAGCATCAGCCAGTGGACCAAAGAGTCTTGGGTTCAATTCCGGTCAAGGGCATGTACCTTGGTTGTGGTTCGTCCCCGGCCCTGGTGGGGGTCGTGCAGGAAGCGATGTGTCTCTCTCATGTAGATGCTTCTCTCTCCCTCCCCTTTCCCTCCCTCCCTCCCACGCTATCCAAAGATAAATGCAAAAATGTCCTCGGGTGAGCATTAAAAAAAATATGTTTTTCCTTTGGAGGGATTAGAAAAGTACACATCTCAACTAAGTCAATGGTTTCCCCCAAAAGGGTAATATAATACCTCACTTCTCTGTTAAAGTAAACATAGCTTTTTTTTTTTTTTAAGTTTTTTCTTTGTTGATTTTAGAGAGAGGGGAAAGAGAGGGAGAGACAGAAATATCGATGAGAGAGAACATCAATTGGCTGCCTCCGGCCTGTCCCCCCCACCCCCCACCTGGATTGGGCCCACAACATGGGAATGTGCCCTGACTAGGAATCGAACTGGTAACCTCTTGGTGCATGGGTTGACACTCAACCACTGATCCACACCGGCCGGCTGCAAATGTAGCTTTATTAGTTTGATTTACTAGACAGCAGGTATTCAGGCTCTTGACCAGCACACTAAACCAATTTAATACAGAATATGAATAAGTTATTAGGCCTTGCCGATCCTTATTACATAAAAATAAAAATCACACAGGAGAAAAGTATTCCTGGTGGAAACAAGGGACCAGGTCGTCACTCCTCACTCCCCAGCCTCTGGTTTCCTTCAGGGGGGAGAACAGCACCTCCCCTCCATCCCTCCACAGTTGTCTAACCGCCCCCATGAAGACTGCATGGAGGGACAAGACACGAGCAAAGACAGAGGCTGGTGTCATGCAAATACATGTAAAGGAAAGTCTCAGTTACCAGGATTCATGGCTATCCATTGTAAAACTCTTTCAATGTTGCTAAATTGAAAAATAATCATCAACTGTTAAGGGCCAGAGGGAAGGAGCTTCTTACAGTAAATCTCTCAGAAACTGAAGGCTCAAATTGATGGGAAACATCTGCACTAGTAATGCATTAAGCACTATGTTGGTGAGCACTACATACAGATAAAAATGAGGTGGCCTCTGGGGTTCAGAATGGGAAATGGGGGGGTGGTGAGAATCTTCCTTTTTTTTTCACTTTGAGCCCTTTTGCAGTGTTTTATCAAGTTCATCTATTACCTATTCAAATAAATGATTAAAAACAAAATCTCACCCAAGTATATTTTTCCATTTATTTTCAGATAGAGTGGGAGGGAGGGAGGGATAGAGAGAGAGAGAGAGAGACAAACAGACAGACAGACAGATCGATGTGAGAGAAACACATCAATTGGTTGCCTCCCACACGACCCTGTTCAGGGCCGGGGACGAACCACAACCGAGGCACATGCCCTTGACTGGAATCAAACCTGCAACTCTTTGGTCTGAGGGCCGATGCTCTAACCAGCAAGCCAAACCGGTCAGTGCAAATAAATGATTTTTAAAACTCAACATCCTTATTGTAAACTTGTCATTTTTCTTATTTAAAAAAAAAAAAAAAAGGCAGAATGCACAGTTGTGTAATTGAACAAAGATCTCCTGGGAATCGGCAGGCTCATTCCCAAAGCATTTCAGTTTGTGGGAAACTACGGAAGAAGTGTTCTTCCTACAGCGTGACTCCAACACTGTCCCTCCTTTGTAACCGAAAAATGCTGTTAAACAGAAAATGGACTAGATCAGAAACAGCAAGATCAACAGCCCAAATCTGCCATTAACTAGATAGGAGACCCGATTGTCCTCACTACGAAGTTAGGGAACTGCATGAAATGTTCTCAAGTAAAAAGTTCTTTCTGGCTCCAAAGTGCTATTAGACTGTAATTCTAATTGTAGTCCAACTAGAACTCCAATTCCCAACAGGCTGCACACTGCACCACTGACGGATGACACACCCCAGGCACCAAGACGCTGCGACCGCGGCTGCTGGGTTCAGATCTCTGCACATTTCTAAGTCAGCACCAACTGACCAGAATCACAATTTCTGAAGAAGCAAAAAACTGCATTTCAGAATCTACCAAGAGTTTGTTTGGCTTCTTTGTTCGAAGCTCCAGCTGGCAAGGACACTATTCAGATCACCAACTCGGAAGGGCTTCCTGCCAAAACTTCAGATCCCCACTCTAGGCAGTCCCACCGTCCTTTAGGGCTGATGACAAATCAAATGGAGGAAAGACTGGAGGACACAAGAACTGAACACACAAATGAACCTGTAATTGATTGGAAGAAGGCAAAATACAAAATAGAATAAAAGAAAAATCTTAACTCCTTAACATTAGATGTATAGGCAGCGATTTACCACCCTTATGGCTATAATCAGAATAAAAAGAGATCCACTCACTCATTCAACAAACATTTATCAGCTTGCTAAGTGCCGTGGAGGCAAAAAAGGTCCTCTTCCTCCCTTGGGCTGGAGGAGAAGGCTCGTGAGGCCCATAAATGGTGCACACAAGGTGACCCGTGGGGATGGAGAGGGCGCTGCCTGCTGTGAAGATCAGAGACCGCGGCCCCAAGACGGCTGAGTTCAGGCGGGAAGAAGGACTAGGAAAAAGCGGGGGAAGGTGTTTTGGAAGCAACAGCATTATCAGCACGGTTATTGATGCCGTCCGCGAAGCCGCTCCCATTTGGCTGACAAGTCCGGTTTGTGGAGCAGGGAAGGAGGGGAGAGAGAAGCTGTGTGATGCTGCGGAGCTTCAACTGGATGGGGC